GGGGGGGGGGGGGAGTGAGGGAGCCAAAGGGGCTTCTCCCTTCTGCATTGCAATGACTGATGCTCGTGGGGCTGGCTTGCAGTTTGCAGTACGTGATTGTTTCTCTGTGTGTGGGTGTGTTGTCTGGTTTGGTTGCAGGGCGGAGGTGGTTCTGTACTATGGGATTGCGTGGATGGTCATAGTGGGGTACCGCAGTGTGGCGGGCGACCGCAACGAGGGCCTTAAGGACACGTCTGAGGCCATCCGTGCTGTGGCTGTCTTCCTCTGCTCCCTCTCGGCCATTCTCATCTCGCTCTTCGCCACATTCATCACCGACAGATGGTGGGTGCCACTGGGTGCCCACTGGGTGGGGGAGTGGGGGAGTGTGTGTGCATGTTGCGCAGGTGGACGTTCCGCACTCAGGGGATCGGCAACATATGGGGTGCGACGAGCCAGCTGGTGTTTCTGCTGTCGTCTCACCTGACCAACTACACCAACCAGGGAATCACACCGGAGGACGAACGACTCATCAGAAGGTCTGGCTGGACAGCTGACAGGCTCGCAGACATACAGGTAGAGTGCATATCTCTTCCCCGGTTGTGTGCTGTCAGTGTCCAGCGGTATGGGCGTGCGTCGATGGCGTGCATCTTCGCGGCCAGGCGGCGGCAGGACCTCACCACACTCGTCGACAAAAACATCCTCACGGAAAAGGAATGCGGTGCAGCGCGGCGCACAGACAAACCATCACATGCACCACACAAATACAGACAGACAGAGAAACACATACATACTCATCAATGCCCTTTCCCCTCGTATCAGAGATCCTGACCAACGACGTCAAGTACCGAGTGCCGTGCTCCATCTGGGCGTGGATCACGTCCATCATAGCCCACTTCGACAAGAGCAAGAAGCTGCCGGGGCCGCCCATTGTGGGCGCCCTGTACAGCTCGGCTGCGAGGGGGCGTGACGGTGCGGCCATCATCATGAGGCTGCTCAAGACGCCCCTGCCGCTGGCGTACGTGCACATGATATCGGTGCTGGCCAAGGTCAACAACCTCCTCATCGCAATCGCATTCGGCTTCAAGCTCACACTGGATATACACTACCAGGTGGTAGGGGGGAGCAGACACACACAGACACTCTGATATATATGTGTCTGTGTGTGTGTGTTTTGTAGTTTTGGCTGATGTTTGTCATCCACGCGTCGGTCGTGTGCGCGTCAACAAGCGCCACCACACCGCGTGTGGCTGAAGCGTGTCTCTGATGCTTCCCCCACTCAATCAGGTTTGTGATCCCTTTGGTCTACAACGGCCTGCTGGCGCTCGCCAGAGAACTCGACGACCCCTTCGGGTCACACACACACATAGCCGCGTCGATGTGTGTTTGTGTATGTGTGTGTGTGTGTGTGGACAATACAGCACTGACTTCAACGATTTCCCGGATGAGTTGTACGACAAGTACATCCGCCGCGAGTGCGAGGCGTTCGGCAAGGCCATACAGCACTACCGCACCATTCAGGACGAATACCCAGAGGGCGCTGATGACATCTTATGAATGGGTCGATTAATGGGCCGGGCCGGGGGGTTGGGGGGAGTTGTTCTCTTGATTGATGTGTGGATCGATCGCACCAATCAGCCAGCTGTTGTTTGAGCCAATTGTCGTCATTCATTCATGCATTCCTTCGTTGTCTGAGCGATCGATCGCACCTTGGCGCATGGATGGATGGATGGATGGATGGACTGGCCCGTGTGTTTGCAAACGATGAGAACACACAGAACTCGATCTTCTGTTCTCCTCCGAGTATGTGTTTGTCTCGCTCTGTCTTGATTGATATGGATGCTCGCCCTCCTCGTTGTATCTGTCTGTCTGTCTATTTGCCTTCACTCCAGGTCTGCGCCACCTGCACACACAACACAATACAGCACAATCCAATCCAATCCAATCCACAACCTAGAGTCGTGTGTCTCCCTACCTCCCCCCGTCTCTCTCCAAGTTCTCTCTGCTCACCTTTGACGAGACCAGCCCACGTGTGGGTGCGCGGGGGAAGACGAGCGAGAAGGCCCTGACCATGCAGCTCTCCACCAGGCGCTGCACCTCACTCGCATGCCGCTTACAACACTCCAAGATGAACTCGTCATGGATCACCCCAACCTACACACACACACACACCGCCCGCTATATATAGGGTTCGGCAGTTTTGTCACGTGGCTTGCTCACTCACGATGAGTGTGTCGGTCTGCCATGCCTCCAACGTATTGTAGAGCAGCGACAAACACAGAAGTGCCACCTGAAATTTCACGGGCATAACACAACACAACACAACACAGCACAGGTTCATGCAAGCAGGCAGCCGCCTCACTGTGCCGTGCCTCCATGTCCCTTTCCTGTTTACCGACCTCGGCAGCGCCGCCCTGGACGGGGGTGTTGAGGCTTTCCGTCATGATGCGATCGTCGACCAAGGCAAAGTGGCGAATGCGACCTGCACAGCAGACACCAGGCAGCGTGAGTGCACACACCAATCCGTCCATCCATCCATCCAAATGTCCACACCTGCCGGCGTCTGGATGGACTTGTGCTGCTGTGATGTGTCGCGGATCCGCTGCTGCCACCTGCAAACAGACAAAGAGAGTCAGAGACACGAGAAAGAGAGAGAGAGAGGGGAGTCGTGCTGGGTGCTGTGTGTCGGGTCGGTCTCGCCCTCACAGAGCGACAGCAGGGTATGTCTGGAAGAAGAGCTTGAGCGCCGTCTTGGCCTCATTCTCCGTCAGCTGCACTCCAAAGGATGTCTGGGCATACACACGCAACCCACTCGCACCCTGGCCGTACACAAGACCTGCATGACACAGTACAGTACAGTACACACACGCACACAATCCATTCGTCCCGTTGTGTGTCTGTCGGTCATATGTTATTGGCCAACGGACTGACCGACCGAAGTTGACGGCTTTGGCGAGTCTCCTTTGCTCCTTGGTGACTTGTTGTGGCGGTATGGACAACAGACGGCTGGCGGTGAAGGTGTGCAGGTCATCGCCCGTGCGGAAGGCTGACAGCATGTTCTCGTCACGGGACAGCTCGGCCAACACTGGCGTCATGGCAGTGAGCACACCAGTGAGAGAAACGACCGAGGCTCGGCCATATGGTCAGCCACCCATACCTCTCAGTTCTATTTGGCTGTAGTCTGCGACGATGAGCGCCCGGCCGGGCGGGGCGGCGAAGAGGGAGCGGAACTCGTCACACCGCAGAGTCGAGTGCAGGTTGGGGTCCTGGTGGTGGGACAGACTCACACACACACACACGCTAGTGGGGACCGAATTCATCCAAGCATGTGTGTGTGCAGTGCCTCATGCACCTTGGTGGCGAGTCTGCCGGTCACCGCGCCGCCCAGTATGTAAGTGGGATACAGCCGACCGCCACGCACATGCTCGGCAAACGGACCGTAGGCGGATATCTGACACAGACGAGGGAGGGAGGGAGGGAGCGAGGGCAGGAGAGGGAGAGGGGAGACCGGAGTAGAGAGACAGCGTATTAAGTGAGATCCACTGGCTAGTTTGTTGTGATGACCTTCTTCTCCATCTCGCGCACATTGAGGATCATCGACAGGGCCTGACATACACAAACACACAGACACACAAAAGGTGCGTGCGGCGGTGGAGTGCACCAGCGTGGGTCCCTACCTTTTGGACCGACTCTGTGCAGCACGTCTGCAGCGTGGCCTTGTCGACCTTGAGTGCACCAGTCTGCTCACACACCACCACACATCCATCCATCCCCTCCCACACCCGACCATCCCATCCAGCCAATGCACATAACATACATACTACCTTGGTTCTCGGCCATTTCTGCAGCTCGATGCCATTCAAGCGACTCTCGATCCAGTCACCCAACTGCTGGTTGGACCGGATGTTCATCGCCTGCTCACTCAGACCCGTCAGCCTGACCTCCGTCCCGCCCAAACAAACACGCCAGCGGTCTCTTCTCTGAGTGGTGGCTGCGTCTGTTGGCTCACTGGCGCGTGTGTCTCTTGGCGTCGTTGAGCTCCCGCTCCCACGCCTGCAGCAGCTGTGCATGGTTGCGTGAGTCGAATGCGATGCCACACGTCTCCACCAGACAGATGGCCGCCTGTGCATCACGCCTGCAGACACAGACAGACAGACAGACACAGAGGGAGGAGGAGCACTGTGGGTATGTATATCGTGAGGAGGGAGTGTGTGTCGTGTGTGCATTGATTACATGAGGTAGTATGTGAGGCAGGCGGGGTGGTTTCGGCCGATGGTCAGGCGCGTCCCCGTCTCACCCACCATTGAGGCGAATATCTGGGGGATTGGATGCACTGGGTCACCCTGCATCCATCAGTGTGTGTGCCTGCCGCTTGTTCCTTCATGTTGTTGGTGTGTTGCATTGGAATGCACTGCACTGCACTGCATTGAGGGGTCGTCATCCCGCCCACCTTGGCGTATTTCTTGAGGACTTTGATGAGGAGGCACACGGATGCATGGACGGCGCACGCTGCGGCCTCGAGCACCGACTCGGCCCTTTTGTCGGGCGCAGCCACACTCGCAGACCGACACTTCTCAACCAACACTGGCACCACACACACACATACACACACACACTCTACACACAGAGAGAGAGAGAGAGAGGGACAGGCATGAAGGTGCGGCAGAAGTGAACACTTTTCCCTGCCAATACCTTGTTTCTCCTGCCGGATGAACTGGTCTTCGTCCCATTCCATGCCGAGCGCATTGACCAGCAGGCGCACACACTCCACCGTCATACTGCTCGGCGGCATGGTGCGCGTGGCGCGACCGTACAGATGCAGAAACTCCTTACCTGCACACGCACCACCGACAAACGAACCCCGTGCACCCACTGCCGTCATGCCCACGGCGTGTGTGTCCCGCTCTTGTTTGTATGGCATACCTGATGAGAAGCACGGCACAATCGGACGACCGCATGACGCGAGGGCCTGCATCGCAGCCTCACTGCACAGCGACGGCTCAGCCCCTCCCACAAGCACCAGCTGCCCCTCACTCATTAGACACACGCCAGCAACACCTCTCAACTGCGACGAGAATGCGATGCTGCCCCCTCGGAAGAAAAACACCGGGCTGCCCTCCTCGGCGCCACGCAGGAAGGCCGCCAGGCGCACATTGGCGAGGGGCCGGATCGTGATGCCCACCTTCAGGGCCTCCACCAGAGCAGGCACGTCAAATGGGGGGCAGTCGTCGCGCTTGGTGGAGGGAAGGATGCCGAGCGGCCGGGGTTCTCCGTCGGGCTGTTTCTGTTGGTCATCCTGGATCATGGCATTGGCATCGGCATTGCGGTCGCTCCGCTCCGACCGTGCGGATGCGGTCACAAGGGCGAGAGGCAAGTTCTGCTGCTCCTCTCTGGCCGCAGCCACTGCCGACGTCCACAGGTTGGCTTCGTCGCCGGCAGCAGCAGACAGCTGGGCGGCGTAGGCTGGCGCCGCCGATGCACTAACCGGTGCATGTGCTGAGGCCTCTGATTCGGGAGATGGTACGCCTCTCGATGCCTTGGCTGCAGGGGTCTTGGCGGCAGCCACGGAGGAGGGCGGCTGGGCGCTCGTGGGGATGGGCGAGAATGGCGTGATGGTGCCGTCAGCCGAGCGGATGGCAGAGGGCCGGCAGACAGTGTCTTGGCGGTTGGCAAAGCCGCCCCGCTTGTAGATGTAGGGGCAGTTTTCCTCCAGCCATCGCAAATCCTTCATCCTTTTGCGCCCTCGCGGTATCTGCCAGGCGTCAGAAACGATGAATGGATGGATACGTCGCTCGGCTTGAAAGATCTCCCGGACGCATTTTGGCCAGGATCCCAGGGTTGAGCGTTCAGCGTATTTCGTTAACGATGGACGCTCAACCCTGGGGCGAGCACAAGATGGCCCGTCAGATGTGTGGGGCGTTCATCTTCGTAGCGGCCGCCATGATAACCAGTGCTGCAGGTGCGTGCGGACGTCCGTACGCAGAGATATATACACAGAGAGAGATCCGTGCACACACAGCCATGGGAAGAATAAGACTTTCCTCTCCATTCAGGTCTGGTGGAAGAGGCTGAGGTGGCCAAGGAAATCGCCCGCCAGCTGCAGGGTCACACACACCTAGAGTCGCCACAGATCTGCCACACGTATGTATTCCACGCTGCGGCTGTGTATGCATGTATATATGTGCCCAGGGATGTCGTTGTCGATGGTCCGTGCTCATAGCATCATGGGGGCAGCCAACAAGCTCAGCCAAGCCGCCGACGAGATGCGCCATACCGCCCTCCAGATGGTCACCACGACCGAGCAACAGGTCCAAGCCATCTCGTCGTATGGTCAGCGACCCAGCCACACTCAGTTCACGGAGGATGGACCGACGAACTAAGACTGCCTGCGTTGTGTATGACCATCACTGTCCTGCATGCATTCACATGGAGTGCATTGATAGATCTGTGGGTCTGTGTGCAGGTGCGTTGTGTGCAGCAGCAGGTGCACCACGCCAAGACCATGATGCAGCAGGTCAATAAGATGGGCGAGGCCCGCCAGATGCGCGGTGAGGCCCTCGACGCCATCCGCAGCGCCCAACGACAGGTGCATCTCATCACCAAGGGGCAGAAGACCCGCACCACCGGCGGTAAGTAACTAACGAATATGTGTGTGGACTCCAATGTAATTCACAGGAAGACGTGTATTTGTGTGTCATGCAGACTGTTCGGAGAATAGCTGGAAGTGTGGGGACGACAGTCAGGGATCGCGCTGTGACGACAATGGGCCAGACGGAGAGGCCTGCTGGTGTACTGGGTATGGGAGCTGCGTGGTAAGCATGAACGCACACACACACACACACACACAGATTTCGCTGGCTGTACTATGAGTGCTGCTGTGTGTGTGGGGGGGTGCATGTGGGTGGTCTGCAGGACTCCGAAACCTATTTTGCGCCTCAATCACAGCCCATGGACTTCTATGACTGGGAGTGAACACCGCGCTGATTGCGTTGGCGACGTACGTCTGTTTAGCGATAGAAAGGGCGGGAAGAGAGAGACACCACCAATGCATACATACAGCTACGGTGCGTATGTAACGTAATTAAGGGTGACCAGTCCGCCTCTGCCGTCTGTCTGTCTGTCTGTCTGTGTGTCTCTGGCTGTCGGTTTAATCAATTAATGGCCGTGGATGGTGTCTAGCGGCATGGCTGTGTGTGTGTGGTGTGTGTATGTGTGTTGTGCCGTGTGGCCGTCTGTCTGTCAGCCACGTGTAGGAGGACAAATGGACAATCATTGAAGGCAATGAATCCCCCAAAGTCATCCGGCCATTGCACGTACACTACATATGTATGTACACTCATCCGTCCACTGCATGTTGAACTACATCATGTCAAGACATCGATCACCCGGCTGCCGCTTGATGTGCTGTGCTGTCATCCAGACGGAGAGGCCTCCTGACGGCGGCGCTGAGCGCTCGGAATGACTGGATGAACACACGCAGCGCAGGTCTACAGACTCTGTGTGTGTGACGGAAGTCATGAATATTACACGTGCGATGTCCGGAGCCAGCAAATCAACCACTAGGTGACGTGTCCGATCCACACGTACGGCACATTGCGTACGAAAACCAAGCAGGCCAAGACGAGAAAGGCAGGGGCTGGTCGCAAAAAGAAGAAGGCCAAAGAGCACTGACTGTCTGCATTGCAGCAATTGATGTGTGTGGGGGTTCATTGGACGGTCTCTGACCATTGGATCAACCGCACATGGGCTGATTCGGTCATTGGTTCAATGCATGACAGATCCTGTCCATCAATCGAATCGCCCCCACACACGTGCATCATTGCAAACACGGCCATGAACGCCCGCACCTCACGCACAACCGGCATCAAACCGGCACACGCTGTTGATGGGGACACCCAGACGACACCCAGACACTTCAGAGGAAGACGCCGAACTCCTGCCATTTCTCCCCTTGTTTGTCCTCATTGTCCGTCTCCCTCCCCTCCTGTGGCCCGCCATCCAGCCACTCCTGAAACACACCCACCCTGCCGTCCTCCTCTGTACCATCCCCCCTCTCCCCTTTGCCCTTGTCAGGCTTGTCCTGCTGCTGGTGGTGGTGTGCTTCCTGCTGGTCTGTGGGATGGTTTGTGAGGACCACCCACGCGCCGGGCTGGTCCTCTGGCCATGGTTTCGGCCAGGTGTTGGCTGCGTCTTCTGTGGGGGCGGACCCGCGCTGCTGCTCGAGGAGGGAGGAGCTGGACTGGGAGAACACCACATAGGAAGCTGATGGATGGATGAGGGAGGACAGCAGACAGACACATTCACGCCAGTGTGTATGGTATGTGGGCAGCCTGGGAGGAAGCGCGTGTTCGCACCTATCTCATGGATGGGCTCGAGGTCTTCCGGATGAGCGATGCTTCCTGCAGGCACACGAACACGGGCACAGGGAGGGACACACCACCGGTCACAGTTGCACTCACAATCAAGGCCGTGTGCGCATCGCATCGATGTGTTTTCTCTCTCCGCACGTACTCGCAAATCGCCAGGCCTCACCCTGGGCCATCCGTGTTGCCTCTGAGAACAACAGACAGACAGACAGACCGACAGACAGCCGGTCCATCCATCCATCCATCCACAGACACATACACTCGTGTACCTTGCTCGTCATCTAGAGTGGACGGCTTGAGTCCCCTGTCCGTCGATTCAGCCCTGAAGTCATCCAGGTGGTGCTGAAGGGCGATGTGGCTTGACCTGGTGGTCTGCTCCTCCCCTGAACAGGCAGGGAGGCGGTCGGTCGGGCAACAAGAAAACACAGGTGCCATGATGATGTTGCTTGCAATGATTGAGTGACAGACATACATACATTCCTTTAGAAGGTCGATACGGCGCTGGCGTCGCTCCTGCGATAGCGACTCGTCAATCGCACTCAGCTCTGCAGGGGGAAGAGGACAGACAACCCAGCACACACGCATCATCCAGGTGTCATTGTGTTGTCGTTCGTTTGTTCGTCGTCATCTTGTTTGCAAACTTGTCAGCGACCGACCTGCATAGGTTCTATAGAAGTCCTTGAGGAAGCCATGGAAGAGGGCCGATGCGACCTGTGTGTCCTCGGCCGCGTCAACAGCCGTCCCTCCATCCCCCACAGCCGTGTCGGACGGCCGGCCGCCCCCCATCAGGCCCGACACGTCCTTCAACGCGCTACTAAGATTCGCCCTGAGAGCGTCCCAATGACGCCGCCTGCGGTGTACACACACGAACACATTCACCACACACATGTCTGCATATCCACCCACCTACGCAGACAGACATCCCTCAATGAATGCTTCTCACTTCCTGCCAGTGGATGCGTCCCCCGAGACGGCCGTCTGGTTGACGGTAGTGGAGTGGGAAATCACCGTCTGGGGCGTCCTCGGTGGCAGCGACGGTGTGGGGGACCTCTCGTCCTCGCCCACACCCGACACGAGGGTGGGCGGCAGAGAGAGGAACGGCATGGCAGAGGCCGTATCATCTCGTGCGCTTGGGGGTGCTGGCTGCTGGACATGCAGGGTGGAGGCGGGCCGCAGCAGGGCTGTCTCGGACAGGCCGATGTGAGAGCCCGAGAAGGGCACTCGAGCGGCACACGGGGAGGGGCTCAAGTCATCACGCGGTTGCTGCCGTATGATGCGATGGATGAGGGTCTTCTCCTCCAATAAACTGTCTGGCTTGTCTCTTCTGGCCTGGTCGCTGCTCCACAGGGCAGACACGCCCAGGCTGCATCGAACGACCGTCCGTCACAACACATGGCTAGCAAGGCTTCCTAAATAATGCGTCGCGTCTGGCTGCATGGCATCTCTGCGTACTCACTTTGGAGGGTAGGGATTCCCTCGAGCAGCCGACCCCTTGGCTGACCTGTAAAGCCACACCAAGCACACTCTCACGTATCGGCGAGCTGTGTCATCCCCGCCCCCTCGGTGCTCGCCGGTTCTTCCTCGTGTCGTCCACCCACTCGCCCAGTTTGTCTGCCAGCCACCTCACCCTGCTGACGCCACTCCGACCGCTCCGCCCAGACGCCACGCTCGCGCCCTCCGCGCTGCTCAGCCCCTCCCGACCCAACACAGGTGTCGATGGGCTCGACCTGGGCTTCGATGGCCGGTGGGGTGGGGGCGACAGGTCCGCTCTGACGCCTCCCTTGGCCGACTGGACGGGCGTAACGGTGCCCTTTGGTGTCATGGCCAGGCGCAGGCCTCCTTGCAGGCCAGTCCGGACCCCAATGGCACCGTCAGGACTCCTCTCAGAAGATGATGGGTCGATCGGCCGCAGGACGGTGGATGGGGGGGATGATGGTCGCTGCGTGAGGAGTGTGGCCAAGTGGTGGAGGGTGGGGAATGACGAAGGGGAAGCCGTCAGCCCAGACACCAACGACTGCAGTCTGTGGTGAATCAGGACAGGGAACCAGAAGCCATCCGTGTGGAATCATCCCACCCCTCCCTTTGTCTGTCTGTCTGTCTGTCTGTCTGTCCCTACTCGATGAAGGTGGCGATGCCTACGGACAGATCCCTCCTATCCAGTGCCGTGCCCGGGTCCAAATCGCCAGTGGGAGGCACACCCAGAGAGATCTCGCCGCCTCCACCTGCATCTCCCTCTCTCCACACAAAGGCAATCGTCCACACGCCCCTCCGAACGCCCACACACACGCCGTCGCCCGCCACGGCCCCCACTCTCAATGCGTCGGTGGGCGACGACTGGCCGAGCAGCTCATTCTCACGGCAGAAGGTGACGACGGCGGGTTTGTCGCGCTTGATGGCCGGGGAGCTCCACACGAGAATGCCGTGGATCCAAATGAGCTCCCCAGCATAGCGGTAAGACCCATCAAGCCCCTCAAACTGCGGCTGCTGACGATAGAGGGGCGAGAAGTGCTGCTCCAGTGCGGCCTGCTCGGTCTCCCCCAGCCAACACACATCGGCCCCACCCGCATCTCCGCCAGGCGCCAGTGGGTCGGCCCCCTCCCGCTCCTCCCTCTCAGAAACCTCAAACATGCCCCCCAGGTGCGTCAGCAGCAGATTGGCAGAGACCTGGCTCGCTGACAGCGGAGGCTCACTGGTGGGGCGCTCGGACAGGTCGATTTCACGCTGGAATGCCTCGAAGAGCCGGTCAAGGCGCGAGAGGGTGTCTGGTTCGAGCGAGCGGGAAGGTCCGTGGGGCTGGCTCATCTCCCCCCTGGTGTGGATGGACGGCAGGAGGGCGGTGATTGAGGGCGTGAGGATGCGTGTGGCCGACGAGAGGACGGCATCGGACGAGGGGGAGGTGCCCAGCAGTGCAATGACCACCAACCATGGATGGCGACCCTGAGGGAGGGAGGGAGGGAAGGAGGAAAGAAATGCGTTCGTTCATCGACCGACCATGGCTCCCTCCTGTCGCTGTGTCCATCGTGCTGTTTTCTTTTACTTACAATGAGTTTGCATTTGAGGTCGCTGTCGCTGGGATGGTGGTGGAATGCGGCATACGTCGGTGGCGCACCGACGAGCGAATTGAGTACGCCGAGGGAGGCGAGGAACACGCCCTTCAAGCCACGAACGGTGGCCAAGTGGGGGTGCTCCACTGGCCAGTGGTACACCAACTGACACGACAGAGAAAAGGACAGACAAGACAGTGCATTTCTTGTTTGTTTGTTTGTTTCGTCCATGGTCAGTCAGATTGATCAGATCTGGTGTAGGCTTACGAATTCCTCGTCCTCTTCCTTGGTCGTCTGGTCCAGGATGAAACCAAACAGGTGCATAACGGGCCGAACGAATGTCAGGTCGTCAGGTCATCAGCATCACACCAATCATCTGCCCAATTCTGGCAGCTACGAGGCGTACGGAGGTGGTGATGCCGGCGGATAGTGACTCGCCTCGGGCCAGCCTCGCAAGGAAAGAGTTTTCAGCTCGCATCCCTTGAAACCGCTAGGGTGCTTCCTGAAACCGCTGCTGCTCTTAAGCCGCTGCCGTGGGATGCTGGAACCGCTCTCTCTGGGGAATGCTCCCTGAATGCTGTTGAAGCCTCCCTCAATGGCGCCCGGGCAGCTGTCTGTGACAACAGGTGATCGGGATCTTTGTTCACAATGAATGCTCTCAGAGGCCGCGGCTCTGTCGGCTCCCGTGGAGATCCCTCTCCGTTCCTCTGCCCCCTGCCCGCCTCCTCTCTCTGTGATGCGTCACCGCCCCTCCCCCTCCGGAGCTGCCAGCGGGTCTTCGCACGCGGCGCCGCCAAGAAGGTCGTGCAGAAGCGTCGGCACATGATGAAGATCTTGCACCTCCGTCAAGAGCGTTACGAGCCCAAGCCCGATGGCTACCGGCCTTTGCCCATGTCGCTGACGGGGTCGGGCCCCGTGCGGCGGCTGCTGGTCGCCAACACCAAGGAGAGCTTCGCCCTCACTGACAAGATCGACTGGGAGAGGTACAAGTGTGACGTCAGGGGCGTGCGGTGGCACCCCAACGGGGCCTGGCGCGTCCAGTTTGCCAGGCGCAACCACGAGCACAACTTCTTCGTCAAGTGTGACTGCTACTTCCGGGTGGGGCTGTATGGCTTCGAGGGCGCCAAGAAACTCGCCATAGCCTACAGGAAAAGACTCGAGGCTGAGTGGGAAGAACAGGTAGGAACCCAATCCACCGACAGCAAGTCCCTTCTCTCTCTCTCTGCAACAACGGATTGGTTCATGATGCATGATGCAGATGGATCAGTGGGGTGTGATTGACCAGCGCAACGCCGAGCGGCGGAATGCCGCCCGTCAGCGGAAGGAGCAGATGGTGGAGTACGAGGACCAGCTGGGTGAGGGGGCGCTGGTGCCGCTGCCCGAGGAGGAGTCGCCCTTCCTGGCCGACGACGAGTACGACGCACTCACGAAGCAGCCCGCACCAAAGGTCGAGATGGTGGACCCCGAGAGCTTCGTACGCGACGAGGCGCCGCCTTTCCTCCCCAAATACGCAGACACTGTCCAAGAGGACCTCGATCGTCAGACGCGCACTCACACACACAGACAGACAGCCCAATATGCAGGCCGGGAGGACAGGACAGGCGGGGTCATGTTGTGGGTGTGTGTGTGTGTGTGCAGGCTACGGAGCGATGGAGCACGAGCGCAAATTACCCGGTGAGTGAGTGAGAAACCCACCCCGCCCACAGACAGACAGACAGACAGGCGACACGCTTAGGGGGCATGCCATCCCATGCATCGTCGTGAATACATCTGTGTTGTGTGTGTGTGTGTGTGTGTGTCTGTATGACTGACAATCAACGGTCGGTGTGGGTGTCTGTCTGTCCACTCAGAGCGTCCCTACCTGCCTCAAGAGGAGGAAGAGCAGCGGAGACAGCTGCAGGAGCAGCAGCAGATCGAGGAACAGAAACGCCTCACCAGCGGCGACGCCTCACACGACGAGACTCCAACTAGCGAGGGTGCACCTGGGCCACCAGAGGATCAAGAGAGACCAGAGACCGACGACGATGACGAGAGTGGGGAAGGGGCTGAGGGTGATGTGGGTGGCGGTGCTGAGGAGTCTGGGAGAGGTGCTGGGCTGGGTGGGGCGGGGCAGATGGATGACCAAGGAAGCAAGCCTGACAGATAGACAGGAGTGGACAGGCAGGCAGGACTGTAGCGCCGTCGCTTGCAGGGTGGTTGGGCATCGGTATGTGACAGACGGTACGGGCCGGGCTGCCTCCATGAATTAATGAATGAATCCAGCTAGCGCAGAATCATCACACAACGGTACCGGGCCGGGAGAGCCAGTCTGCCTGCTGCATGCCGCCAAAGGAATGAAGGAGGGGCGTCAAGACCGTCTGGTCCTGCCCGCCTGCCCGCCTGCCCGCCATTCTCTGCAGCTCTTTGCCGTCCCCAAGAAAGAGACACACCTGACGGACGCTGCATGGCGTGTCTCGCACACACATGTGTGTGAAGGTGTGTGTGAGTGTGTCAACGTACAGGGGGAGGGAGAGGGCGGCAGTGGCGGGCGAAGCTACTGCATCGACAGGGGACGTCGAGGTCGCTGTGGAGACGAGCAACCGATGGACATCGATTGACATCTGAGACTGCCTGCCATCTTTGCATCAGCGAATTCGCAAGATTGATTGGGGCTGTGGGGAGTGTAGCGTCGCGTGCCTTGGCTGGGCTCGTGTTGGTGATCTATGCAGTCGCCGGGTAGACCTTTGGTATAGACTGCGTTGACTCATACAGATGTTTTGGCCATGTCCAATGAGGCGTGTGGGGACGGCAATACTGACTGATTCATCCAAGTATAGATCTACTCAATGCGTTATCAGATACACACACTGCAAGGCACACACGCGTCATGCGACCATATGACATCGGTCCCTCCTCCTCTCTCGCCGTGCAGCGCATCATCTGGACGACCGTCTTGCGTCGGCGGCCTTGCCTGCAGCTGCAGCTGCTGCGCGGCTGACGGGGGTGACCACATGCGACCGCAGGTACTGGTGCAGCAGGGGCGCCAACCGGTCAGGACTCTGCATGCCACGACACCACACACAAAGAATGCCATATGATGGAAGACGTGAGCTGGCAAGGCAAGGCTCGCTCAGCTCACGTCGATGGCCGCGAGGCATCCGTCCTGGACTGCCGTCGACAGAAAGGGAAAGTACCTGCACCAAAGAGCACCAACGACAGACAGGCAGCACCAGCCATCCCATCGATCCATGGCATGGAGGTGAGCGGCCAGCCAGCCAGTGTCAGTCAGTGTACCGACCCCAGTAGCATGCCGTCGAGTATGTTGAGCTTGGCGTCGCGCGAGATGCCCCCCTTGTGGCCGGACACCCCCCCCAGCCCGCCCCGCTCCGACGCGGCCGGCTCGCGGCACATCCGGGGGTTGAGACCCATACGATGCGGCAGCTGGTGGGCCAGGTGAGACTGATGGGCATGGCACACACACACACACACATACGGACACATGGCATGGGAAGGGCTGGCTGGCTGGCCTGCGGGGCTGCATTGGGGTGTGTGTGTGTGGATGGGATGGATGGCTCACTTGTAAAGGCAGGAGGGATTGCCAGTCGTGTGACCCGCCGAGAGGGCCGATCACCACCAGCGCACCGTTGGCACCGCCGCCCAGCTGCACGCAGCCATCCAGCCATCCAGCCATGCATGATGTGTCTTGCGTTGGTGCACCATCCATCCATCCATCGGCCGATCGATCGACCCTATGTCCCCACCCACCCACCAGGCATCTGCTGGCTCCCCCGATGGTGGTCCGCACCCACCCCAGGATCCGCGAACCGCACGCCAACTCACCAGACTCATCCAAGTCAAGCGTCTGACCCACATGGTTGCAGAGGGGACATCAAAGATGGCCTCATTGTGTCCCTTCCTTCATCCCTCCCTCCCTCGATGGCTCCTAATCGAGGGAGATATGTGTGAGTACCTACCTACCTGGTCGGAGAGAGCGCTGGCTGGTGCCCCCTCCTGCGGCTTGTACTGATACAGGAAAATATTGGCGTGTGGATCAGACACAACCATGCCTGACGTGATGGATGGATGCACACACACACACAAATACATCATGTGCACACACAGCCCACACAGGTGGGTGCCATTTCGTTCAGAGGGCCACTGTGCGAGAGAGAGAGAGAGAGAGTGTGTGTGTGTGCACTGACCGAGTGAGTTTCTGGTAGCGATCATGTCGCAGGCGACGGCCGTCAGGCGGGTGCTCGCGGGGGTCCTGCCCAGGTGCACCAGCTTGCGGCTCGCTGGCCGGCCCTTCTCCTCGAAGTTGTACCATCTGCACACACGATGAACCAACATGGACTGAGTGAGGGAGGGGGGGAAACACCCATGGGCCGTCTGTGGCTGTCTGTCTGTCTGCCTGTCTGTCTCGCTGACTTGAAGAATGAGAGCCCCTTGAAGAGGTCCCCGATGAGCACGAAGTCCTTGATGATGGAGCAGCAGGTGATGAACGTCATGCCGTCATGGATCGCACCGCCCAGCAGCTGACGCTCGCCCACCTCCTAGCATAGCAACAGCACACAGACAGACAGACACACAGACATGGTCAGTCAGAGAGATAGATAGACAGACAGAGAGAGATCCGCGCGCACACACCTGCACAATGAGCCTGGCCCCCGCCCCCTCAGTCCTCCCGGCGTGCATCACATACGAGCCGCTGGCCGCCTTGCCACTCACAGGCTCGAACCGCGTCAGCACAGACACCGGCCCCTTGTAGCTGCTCTTCAGATACACACGGAAGCCGTACTGCTCCATACCCGAGGCGCCCTCTGTGCCCGCCGCTAGTGGTGGTGGTGGGTGCGGGGGGATGACGTCCATGGCGTCGTCGGAGGGGTTGGGCAGCTGCAGGAGGTATACCTGGCCACTAGTGTGGCCTTCCGGCTGGTCGGTGTGCAGCTGCGCGGAGCCCACGGCCAGCAGGGTCTCGCCTGATTTGATTCAAGCAAGGCAAGAGAAAACATACATTGTGTTTGTGTGGAGTGGAGACGCTTATGCATGTATGTTTGTGCACTGCAGTGCAGTGCAGTGCACTGCACCATAGATGCGGAGGAAGCTGAGGCTGAGCACCTTCTCCAGAGGGCCGAACTTCCACCAACTGACAGACAACCGAGTCACAAACCCAAACCCAGACCCAAGCCGACACAAACACAAAAGGGTCATTCGTCACATGACCCCCTAGGGCCCCCGGTGTTTCTTCCTTTCCTTCTTCTCGGCACTTACGCGCAGGGTGCATGCAGCCCGCCATCCAGCCTGTACAGCCTCACCTCGTGCCTGTCAGTCACCCTCCTCAACCCCACACCAGCCCCAGCCCCGTCGTCAGACTGCAGCAGCAGCAGCCGCTCATTGAAGGACCCCCTCAGCGACTCGGGCACATACTCACTGTCTTCATCCTCCAGGCCCGTCTTGGGCCCATGGTACGCCACCACTGGCTCCTCGTCAGCCAGCGGGACGGCCACGGCCAGCATGCCCACCGATGGGTCGCTCAGAGCCATAGGGCCGCAGGGAGAGCCCATCAGGACGGTTTGGGGATGAGTCTCAGTGGCTGCCGACGGGGCATCAGGCTGGGGCGGCAATGGCGGCTCCTCTGTGTCTGTGTGGTCGATGACGTCCTCGGGGGGAGGGGGAGGGGACGGGCGAGGAAGGCTGCCCAGGGGCACCTAAGGATGGATGGATGGATGGATGGCAAGAGAGAGGAAAGAGCGGAGTGTGGGTGTGCATTGCGTCCGTCCGTGTGTCCGAGCATGGATACCTTCAGTTGGGGTATTGGCTTGGCCAGGTCCCATTTGGCGATGTGCTCGACGGCAGATGAGGGGGCGACATCGCTGCTGCCGGGTGCGTCACCGTCGTTCCTCTGGGGGATGTCCAGCTCCTCAACCTACACACACAACAGACACATAACATCCAGAGAGAGGGGAGAGAGCACTGACGTCAAGCAGTATATGTGTTGGTTGCAGCCCTCAATGCATAGAATGGATGCAGCTTACGTATTCCAGCCGGATCATCGACGTCGACGACAGACTCAAGAAGCTGAACAAACACACACGACAGCAGCAAGCGTGAACCAAGCAGGGACGCACAACACGCTTACGCATGGGGATAGGCCGGCGTCCTGAAGGGCACTAGCGCCACAGCCGACGGGTCGGCGTTGGGGTGCACAAACACCTCACCCCGCCTGCCCACCACCCACAAAGGCCCCGCCTCCTGACCCCTCCCACCACCACCTCCCTCCGTCCGCGGCGGCACCACAAACGCGCCCCTCTCGCCCCCCACTGACACGAACGGGACCACCTTGCCTCCGCCATAGACGCCGAAGGGCACCAGCTCGCCCGTCGAGGCCTGATGCTGATAGGAGGGCATGATGGGCAGCACAATAGGGTGCATCATGAGCTTGAAGCGGTAGGGGAACGACGGGTCGGTCTCGGGGAACTCTTCGCTCAGGTCTTGCTCCTCCTGTGGGGGCGGCCTGTGTGCGCGGTAGATGAGGATGGGCCGGCTGGGAAGGAAGACGACGAGCGTGGGGGTGCTGTCGATGTCGATCAGGTCGGCCCCCCACACCACCTTAAGCTGGGAGGGGAGGGCGGGGGAGTGTTGGTGGGGGGGCTTGTTCTGCGGGAGAGGGTCGTGCGTCGACATGTGTCGCGGGGCAGCCGTGGGGTCCGTCAGCGACCGGAAGACATCCGAGGCAGACATGTAGCGGTCCTCAGCATCACCTAAGGCAATGAATGCACCAACGCAGCGCAGCACAGCACAGCACAACACGCAGAGGTCAGGTGAGCTTGTAATATGGGTTTGGCCTGGCTGACCTGAGTGGCATGTCCGCAGGATGGGCGGGACCAGGTAGAGCTGCTCCACATAGAAGACCACCCTCTTGCTAGCCATCTCGACCACACTCAGCGACCCCTCCCTGCCCGTCACTGCCGCAAACACAGCACCCTCCTCCTCCGAATAGCAGCTGAGCGTCATGACGTCCCCTGTCATGCAGTCGGGCAGCCCGTCCACCTCCCGCAGCACCCCTGCTGCGGCCTGGTACGCCCTCACTCGGCCAGTGTCGAATAGCACGGCCACATAGGGCTCGTTGACGCAACCCTTGACGGCCAGGGAAAGGTCGTCCCCCTCGTTGAAGTCGATGGACGTCTCACTATGGGCGTCGGTCGTCAGGTCCCCTTGGTCGGTCATGGGGATGGCGTGCAGTGCGTTTGGGGTGACCTGGACAAGGAGCCCTGTGAGCGCCCCCGCACCCACAGTGCAGCTCTCGCTGTCAATGTGGATGTCTTCGGTGACCTCCTCCAGCCGGTCGTCCTCCGCGCTCGTGGTGGCGGGCCTCATGGCCAGCGCATAGGTGCGCCCGACACTCAGCCGCGCATCGCTGCTCACCAGCACATATGCGTGACGGTGAGAACCGCCCACGTCATCATCACCACCACCACCACTGTCAGCCGCCCGCCTCAGCGAGGTCTGCATGCTGATCGACGGCAGCCCATCGCTCTTGCTGACCTCGCTCCTCTCCCCTCTGGCCGTTATGTGGCCGTCGACATTACCCTCCCCTCCCACCTCGCCGCCCCCGTCTCCCCGCTTCCTCTTGACTCCCCCGCCCCGACCACCACCCGACCGCGCCATCTGGTGGCCCACATGGATGGTCCAAAGGTAGCCGGCGTCCTGTAGGTCAAATTCCACGATCGAGTAGGTGGGGACGGTCCGCTGGATGGCGCAGAGGAGCGGCGGGAGGGCGGGTCTGCCCTCGAGAGTGCCGCCCATGACGGCTGCGTAGCGCATGGTACGGAGTTCCTCGGTGCGCTCGGAGGGAAGGGCGGTCTCCATGCCCGAGATGTCGACGCGTCGCGGCCACTCGGCGAGGGTGCGGAGGCTGCCGGTGCAGTCCAGCTGGTCGACCAGTGTGACGTCGTACTGCGACAGCTCACAGCGGTTCGCAGACTCACGCTCATCGCAGAGAGCGATGTATTTCTCCAGCTCTCCTCTGCCTTTGGCATCTTGGTCCGACGTCATGCCGGCGACGGAAGTGTCGTCGTCTGCCATGGCGGCCTTGAGCTTCCCAAACCAGCCGTTGACGGGCTTGACCAGCAGCCCCCCGCCTCCGTCCTCTCCCCCGCCATTATGCCACCCCCTGCTGTCGACCGAGTACCGCCCCACCTCTGTCAGTGTAACGACTGACGGGCCCACACCAGCCGCCCCGAGGCCGCTCAGCATGAAGGAAAGAGGCGCGCCGGGGGTGCCTCCTGCCGCTGGTTTGGCGGAGAGGGGCACGATGGTGTGCGTGTGCAGCGGTTGGGGGCAGTCGACCTTCTGCCAGAGAATGTCGATGACGCCGTCAGTGGGGTGCGTCACCTGCACAGAGAAGAAACAAAGTGAGAGGAGTCTATCTCTGCTGGCCGCCTGTGCGCCGCTATATTTTTATGGTTGGTGTGTGTGTGTGTGTGTGTTGCTTACAAGGTGTAGTAGGAAGAGTGTGCCGTCCCGGAGGATGGCGATGATGCACGACGGTGTCACGTGGCTCCAGCAGAGGCCGTCCAGACGCACACCCATCTCACTCTTGTCCCTATCAACCAACAGACAGACATATCAGGGCGCGGCGCAAACCAAACATGGCAGCTAACAAGCAAGTCTGCAGACAAGCCAACGATTGCAGCTATGTACCTCACCTGACAGGAAGGGTACAGAAGTGTTGCAGCTCGCCCGTGAGCCAGGCCCCCTTGTGCGTGACCTGCACGAACCCCCCGCCCCACCCTCTGCTGTATACCACAACCGTCGGCGACACCACCAGGCAGCCAGCCAGCACCGACAGCGGCCTCTCGTCGCCCTCCGCCATCGAGCGGGGCACCAGCGGGATCACCTCTGAGCAGTCCATCGGCAGGTCCTCTTGCTGCACACAATGGGTGTGTGTATCTGTCCATTGATGGTGATGTGCTGGTTGGCTGGTTGGTTGGCTGGTAACCTACTTTGGACATGACGGTAACTCGTTTGGCGTCACAGTCGACAGCCGCGAGCATGAGGCAGCACGCCCCCCGACTCATCCCCAGCCGCCCGCACCACACCTGCACACACACAGGCGCATCCCTCCCTGCATGCTCACACAAATGCAGACAGACAGACAGACAGACGCACCGGTCGGGTTTGGACGAGCAGTGCCAGTGTGAGCTGCGAAGGACCGTCCACAAAGGCAAAGTCCACCTGAGAAGAAAGACCACCGGACGGATGGACACTTTCGTTCGGTGGTGAGCGGTTGTGTGAGGTGCAGTGCAGGGGTGGATCAGGTCGATCAGGTCCCCCACCCACCAGTTGGTGCACCCCCAGCTGGGCCTTGATGGCCACGGACCAGGACGCCCCCACAAACAGGTCACCAGACAAGAGCTCGTGATGCCTACACACACACACACACACACCCAGAGAGAGAGAGAGAGAGAGAGAGAGACAGAGGGGCCCACCATGAGCTTTTCATGCAACAACACACGACAGACATGGGTGCACCTCCCTCTGTCCACCCCCCCCACCCACCCGAATTGTTCGGCTTCCTTCTCGACAGCCTGGTCTTGCCTGTCCTGGATGACGTCGCCACCCAAGGCATCTGCAGTGCCGGCTCCCCCACCGCCATCGCCCCTCTCCTCACTCTCATCAGCCACGCGCCGGAACGGCACGATGATCAGATGGTCGCCAAACAGACGCAACGCAGCACAGCCGCAAAACACCGGCTCCACACCGTCATGCTGCTCGGATGGCTGCGTGACACACATACAGACAAGAAATAGAGCAACAAGTGGCTGTTGGCATTCTTGGCTGGCTTCAGTGACTCAGTCAGATGCACACACACACAGACCTACCTGTTGTGTGTGTGGTTGTGCGATGCGCATGGTGGGTGTGAGCTGCGGGTGGTTGGTCATGGCCCGGGTGAGCTCGGGCAGGTTGAACGAGTGCAGACTCAGCGTCGCAAAGTCGTTCAACTCCACGCTGTAACCGCACACCACCAACTGAACACACACACACACACACGGCCCGCGCTACGCTCCACATTTTTCTCCCTCTTCCCTTCTGCATACCTGCCCCATTTTGAAGAGCAGCGCCACTCTGTCAGCGTCGCCGCTGCCATCCCCGCCAGTCATATGGATCGGCGCGGCGTCGAGAGGCGAGCCAAAGAGCTGCGCCTTGCACACCTGCCGCAGCTGCTTGCAGCCCTCGTGGTGAGCATGTTGCTTATCAGCCAGTCGCCACAGCTCGATGTGGTAGCTTCTGATGAGGATGGCGGATGGCGCGCCGGGGGCAGCAAAGCAGCCGTGGAGGCAGAAGTCGACGGTGGACGGCGGGGAGATCTCCTCAAACACCGCGTGACTCATGTGATCACTCAGAGGGAGTGCTGGTGAATGAATGCTGGCTGGTGCTCCATCACCATGAGATGTTACAGACAGAGAGATCTATCTACCACCTTGTGGTGGCCCCTCAGCTGAGAGCGGTTTCTCCGAAACCCTAAGCTCCTCCGTCTGCGAGCTTAGCCGCGGAGCCCTGTGAGGAGGAAGCTTCTGTTATCCGCAGTGATGATGCATCCTTGAATCTGGAAGGAAGGATTGCCGCGAGAAGAGCAAGATGGAGCACCCACAAGAGAAGACTCGAGCAGCAGGCGGCCAGGGAGCCTCGACAGCCAAGGAGAAGGGCACCAAGCGAGGCAACAGGCAGGCTGTCGCTGACCAGCTGTTCGAGTGCCTGCAAAGGGGCGATGTGGTGCAACTCGAGAAGCTGCTGGCGCAGCTGCCTGCCAAAGATCCCGCCGTCAACATGATGGTGGGTGAGCAGAGAGGAGAGCATCCATCCATCGGCAGCCAATCGCAACAAAACAAGAAAGATCCCCAACCCATCATACCGATTGATTGATTCCTTGTGTGCGTGTGTGTCTGTCTGGCAACTGACTGACTGACAGGATGCGTCGTTCAAGACGCCACTGATACGTGCGGTTCTTGCGCGGGACTTCAGGGCCTTCCTGCTACTCCTGCGTGCGGGCGGCGACCCGTTCGCCCATGACGGTGATGGCCAGGCGCTGATGGACCACTTGCTGCCCACTCTGCCGGCAGCCGACAGCAAGGAGGGCTACCTGGTGTCGTTCGGCAAGGCGTCAAACTACCTGTTGGGGTACCCGACAGCCGCTATCGATGTCACCGTCCCAAAGGTCGTCACGTTGGCCCTTCCTCCACATGGTCAGGGAAGGAGGGAACGAGGGAGGGAGGGAGCCTGGACTGCCCTTCATTAAAACCCATCCATCCATCCATCCACTCGTTCTTCCCGTTGTGTATGTTGTCATCCATCCATCCATCCATCCACGATTCCATCAGGTGGTGGCAGTGCGTCGTCGTCATCGGCCTCCGGTTCCGCCCACCGTCACCGCTCACATGTCAAGGTGGCCCACATGAGCTGCGGCAAGTACCACAGCGCGGTCGTCACCAGCTGCGGCCGTGTCTTCGTGTGGGGGCTCGGGGGCCAAGGCCGACTCGGAGTGGGGCACTCGAGTGCTGTCCTGGAACCAAAGGCACTCAACACATTCGGGCCGCCCACAGAGAGGAGGGCAGTGCAGGTAATTATGAGGCTGGCTGGGCAATGTTGGTGTGTTCGTTCCTTAGCAGGGAGGCAGGCAAGGCGACGTGTGTGTGTGTGTGTGTTTGGATGGATGTGTGTGTGTGTGCAGTTGAGTGTGGGTGAGGACCACTCGATGGTGCTCGCCCAGGACGTGCGCGGCTCTTACACAAACGTCTACACATGGTATGGTACCCACCACCGGCAGGCAGGCAGGCAAATGCAGACACCCCACGACATTCATCCGCGGCGGTGTCTGTCATTCATTTCATGAATAGGGGGTCCAATGGCTACCACCAGCTCGGTTATTCGACGCCCGGCAGCAAGGGATGCGCTAGCGACGACGGGGGGGTGGTGTGGCTGCCCAGCAAGGTGCGAGCACTCAGGACTCTGGTCGTCCTCAGCGTCGCAGCCGGCAACCAACACAGCCTCGCGCTCACCAGCGACGGCCGCATGTTTGCATGGGGCTCCAATGCGCGCGGCCAGTGTGGGCTTGGTGCGGAATTCCCGTCGATCGAGACGCCTCGCGAGTGCCCCTCCCTGAGCGACACAGTGCGCAAGATATTCGCTTTGAATCTCTTGTCGGCGGCCATCAATAAGAATGGAGGTAGGGAGGGCTGGAAGCAGTTCAGCTGACTGCCTGACAATTCCTGCCTGTCTGTCTGTCTGATGTGTCTGTGTGTATTCAGATGTGTTTGTGTGGGGTGGCTCCCCCGTGGCGCTGGAGGGATCGCTTCAGACATCGTCCCTTCCGGCACACCTGAAGTCGCACATGGGGTAATACCACGCACACACACGGAAGATGAGAAGCGCCGTTTAAGCACCACTCACTGGCCTTTGTGTTTGGGTGTCTGTCGGTTTGTTTGTTTGTTTTCGTTGGTTAGGTTCTTTCTGCCCACAAAGCTTCGGACACCGAAGAACACATCGCAGAGTGATGAGGGGGAGGGGCTGAGCCGCAGGCAGAGGTCCAGCATGGCCGCCCTGCCACCCTTCTCCACCGTGGCCCTCGGCAAACGGGTCGCACTGGGAGCAGCCATCGATGGCAGGTCGGTCACATATCTCCACCCATCCAACCATTCATCCCTCCCGTCCATCCATCCTCTCCTACCTGCCCTGGTCTGTGTGTGATGTGAATGTGATTATCAGGTTGTTTGCATGGTCGGTGGTCAGCCGGCCATGCTACGCCACGGCCGTCCGCTCCCTCCTGCACGTCAAGTCGGTGGCTGTCCAGGCCCAGCATCTTTTCGCTCTCCGCGACAACGGCATCCTCTACACCGCCAAGATACCAGACGTCGGCCTCAGCCCCGCACTCACCCCAGCAACCAAACACCCACCCTCACCCAAAGTCACGGCGACCTCGTCGACGAGTGCTGCTGCTGCTAGTGCTAGTGGCGGGGGTGGTGTGTCTGGCGGGGCACCGGCAGCTAGCGTGCCAGCGGTGGCCACGCCGCCGCACCGCCCGACGCCGGTGCCGATCGTTTGTGAGTTTCATCCATTGAGGACGCTGACGTGTGTGACGAGCATCGCGTGTGGGCCTCATCACATGTTGGCGGTGACCAATGTGGGCCGGCCAGCGAGGATTGTCACTGGGTGGGTGCGAACACGTACAGACAGATGGCAGACAGAGGGACGGACGGACGGACGGACACCTGGCTTGATATTGATTGCGCGGTTGTGTTGTGTTTGTGTTGGTTGATTGCTCGCAGTGCTAGATCAGAGGAGGACGAGACGGCGACTGAGCCCAGCAACACAGATCACGATGACGACACCGAGTCGGAGACCACCACCAACAGGGCGGCGTCGGAGCACACCAATTCCGCTGCACTGCACCAGCCACCCTCCCTCAAGCTCCTCTGCGAGGCCAAAGTCGCGCGCATGATCACTCTCAGAAACGTGCTCGAAGTCGCGGTATGTGATGTGCCACCACACACATACACACGACTAAATGTGTGGACGGCTCAGTAAGCATCTCTCGCTCTCTCTGTGTGTGCGTGTTTTGACGGTCAGGATTTGGCTGAGACGGTTGGGTGCGAGGCTTTATTCGACTATGTGGTTCGTTTCCTGCTGGTCAATCTGCCCCAGTACCTCTCCTCCCAGTACTCCCACGTCATGCAGTCGCTGCCTCAGGTGGTGGCGGACGCAGTGCACCTCCAGCTCCAATACGACCTTCCCCCATCCACCATCATGAGGGACCCCACATTTTCTGAGCGACTCAGGCGCGCCCAGCGCACATCGGGTGGTCGGCAAGGGGCAACACACGGCGGCGGGGACACGGCCTCTCCTCCCCCATTGCTGCGCTCCCCCCCGTTGGGCCATCGTCGCGACCCGCTGGATGACTTCTCCCTGGAGGACTCACCCGCCATTGCCGCTCTGGCCGACCCCCTGACGCTTTCCTCGCCGAATGGTGGGTCAGGGGATCTGACGCTGGCGGGCTTGCAGGAGAGCAGGGGAGAGACCCCCCAGCTGCGGACGCAGCCGTCCCCTCTGCAGTCGCCCCACGGCCTCTCGCCACGTGTTGCCGACGGCCGGCTGCAGCCACAGCAGCCCTCTGTCGACCTGTCGGACCAGATGGCGGTGTTCCGGCGGTATAGGCGTGTGCAGAAAAAGCTCAAGGAGATCAGGGGGCTCATGGAGAGAGGCGGAGTGTCCCCAAAAGTCGGGCCGTCATCCCCGCCCACAGAAGCACCAGCCGTACCAGAAGCAGAAGGCACCGCTGTTGCTGCTGCAGCAGCTGCTGCAGCGGCATCGTCGAGTAAGGCGTCTGAGGGCGAGAAGGGGGTTTCCCCTGAGGTGTCGGCCAAGATCGGGCAGCGGGCGGCTTTAGAGAAGGAGCTGCAGGAGCTGGCCTCCACGCTCCGTGAGGGATTCGGCTTCGACGTGGGCGAGCACGGCGCCTCCAAGGAGCAGCAGTACCGCAGCCGCACCTCCAATGGTGCTGCTGCTGATGTCACCGAGGCCGCCGCCCTGTCGCCGGCCAACGATGCATCATCGCCCGAAAATGAGGGCGACCACATATTACCCCAGAAGGCCGTCAGGCCGCCCAGCCCTTCCCCCGCCCCCCTGCAACGTCCATCCTGGTCTGCCATCGCCTCCCTCCCAGCAAGAGACACACCGACAGCATCGACGGCAAAGATGAGCTGGCGTCAGGCGCTGTTCGGACAGGGAGATAATGCCGCCGACCAGCCGTCGGCTCCGTCATCGGCCTCACCCATGTTCCCCGACCTGAGGGACTCGCTGGGCATCAGCCACTCTGACAGGAGGCTCAGGCCGATTCCTGAGGAGACGGCGTCACAGCGGGAGACCAGCTCCACCAACGGCCCAGTGGCTGCTCCCGCAGAGAGGGAGGTTGAGCTGGAGGATATGCCCACCCCCAGGGTCGATCCGGCCAATGCCGTCACACCATCGCCCGCTGCATGCCCATCGCCGCCCGACGATCTGTCGATGCAGGAGGACCAGTGGATCCAAGTGCAGAAGGGCAGCAAAAAGGGCAGTGGCAGTGGCAGTGGGGGTGCAAAGAAAGGGAGCGAAGAAAGGCAGCCCCAGACAGCAAGGTCACAAGTGGCGCCGAGAACGACTAGCGGCAGGAGCAGTGTCTTTGCGGCGGCTGCGGGCTCCAGCAAGGAGGGGAGTGCAGCGTCTGCTGTTCAGTCTGTCACGGATGGGACATTTGCCCTGTCGGACTTCCTGGTCGTCAAGACCAAGAAAGGTCAGCCAGCTGACAACAAGTACATGCAGTACTGACACCCACATGACTGAACAAATGAATCGATGAATGGATGGATGGATGGACCGGCGTGTTGTTACCCTTGGTTGTTTGTGGCATGCAGGGAAGGAGAAGCCGAAGGAGGGCCCGTCTGCCCTGCTGGCGTCTGCCATCGGAGAGGTCAAGTCGGGCGAGTCCTCTCCCGCATCCGCACAAGTCATCAAGAAGACGGCATGGGGCACTCCCGCCGTCGTCCCGCCCCCTCCTCCACACCCGGCAGCCTCTCCATCGCCACCCTCGCCCCCGTCAGCCAAGGCCAAGGCCCCTTCCGATGACTCACTGGCTCATCCCACTGACCCGCCGCCAACGCCATCAGACGAGCAGCCGAGCGTTGCACCAGCGAGCGCGAGAAGCAGGGGCAGCAAGGTGGTGCCGTCAGTGAGTCTATCCGAGATCATGATGGAGCAGGAAGAGCAGCAGCAGCAGATGCAGCAGAGGATGGGCAATCGGACTGGCGCGGCGTCTGCCTGGGGGTCCCATCAGTCGAGTGCAGGCGCCCACGTGCCGCATCGACCGCCGGCGCATTCTGAGACGGCCAACAAGTGGGGGAAGGACCAGCTGGAGAAGATCACGGGCCAGCTCAAGACCGGCCCAGGACTGCAGGAAATCCAGGCAAGAACGAGAGAGACAAACACGAACGCTCCCTCAATCGCATACAATGCATACATCATGTTTTTTCTTTCTTCTGGTTTCAATCTGTCTGTCTGTCTGTCTTGATCCACCCACCAGGCGCAGCAGCAGGCTGACCGTGACATCCAGTTGTCCATCCAGCTGGCAGAAGAGCTGGCGAAATCGAATGAACCCCCACCAGCAGCCCCTCCACCCCCCGACTACAGCCACAATCGCGGCAGCCGCCCCAGACGCGACCGAGGCCGAGGTAGAGGCTCCCATACCGCCGCTGACGAGCACCCACCACCTCCAGCTGCAGCTGCAGCAGCAGCGGCAGCGGCAGCGGCGACGGGTGAGTCCCGCCATCGAGCGGGGAGGCGATCGTCACATGAGTTGGGGAGCGGCCTAGGTGACCACATGTCGAGAGGCGGCGGGTCGGGTGGGCGGCGGAGAGGCTCAAGGGACGAGAGTGCCCCGGCAGATAACAGCCACCCACACGTCCAGCCACACCACGGCGATCACGACAATGAGAGGGGCCGTGGCGTTGGCGGTCGGCGGGGGAGGGGGACGGTAAGGAAGGTCTACCGGCCTAAGGCCACCAAGAACGGCGAGTGGGAGCCAAGCGGCAGCAGAGGGGACGCTGCAGCATCAGCTTCAGCATCACCGGCAGCAGAGGGCTTCTGGGGTGAGGACGAGGAGGGTGCTGGAGCTGAGTAGGGTGGCGGTGTGTGTGTGGTAGAGGGGTGGATGTAGACATGTAGACTGACACGTGGAGTGGTGTCTGTGGTTCCATTTGATTAGTGGGTGGGTCAGTGGGTGGCCGGATAATATGAGGAAGGAATTGACTAAGGATGGATGGATGGATGGAAGGAGGGATGGATGGATGGAAGGAGGGATGGATGGATGGAGTGGTGGTGGGAGGGATAGACGGTCGGTTGGACGGAACGTCGATGTGTGCGTAATGAAACGTGGCTTGGTGTTGGTCTGTGCCTGGTGCACTCCTCGGTTCACTCTCACAAAAGCAGACAGACAGACGGCTATACGATTGTTTGACCAACCACCGAACCGAACCAGGCAAAATACATCTCCACCATATGGTGATGCTGACAAATGCAGTCACCCCACGATTGACAGATCGACAGACGAGTCTCCCTTAATCACAGACAGACAGACAGACAGACCGACAGACGAACGAGTTGCAATACCTATAGCAGACGGACGACCAACCGACAAGGCCGACAACTACAAAACACCACCGACCCGCTAATGCCACCCATACATATCGATGACCGACGAGATGAGTGTCATGTTTGCTATCGCCGAAAGGCAGATGAGTGGCCGGCCGGACAGATATGCAACCAACTGCCTGCCTGCCTGCCGCCACGCACCATGCGAACTCCTCCCTGTCTCTCTCTCTATGCCATTTCGGTTGCTCACTTATTGTCCCGACACGAGCATTCTCTTGGGGTGGCCGGGGCCCGCCCACCAATACGCCTCCCGCGAGAAAACATTCTTGATGAGGGGCCAGAACTTGTCGATAGGATAGGACGCGTAGGCCCCGTCGAAGGCCTTCTCGTCCCAGTCGGCACAGAAGTGGACGCAGGCGTCGTAGGCAGGATGGCCCTTGAATGCCTGATTACAGACAGACAGACGGACGGATACATGGATGGAGATCGATCTGGTGCGTCGTGTGAGCGAACAACTTAACTTACGTCTCTTAGGTTGGGGTCGCCGTCAAAGTGATGGATGTAGTGGTAGGCCTGCACAACCCATGCCATGCACCAACCATCCATCCATCCATACGTCAGCGTGACACAGCTGCCTGCCTCCCTGCCTGCGTGATTGCCTGCCTGCACACCTGGAATATCTCATGGTGGGCGAGGACCCAGTAAGTGTCCTCTGACACAAACGGCCGCAACACGGCAGCAGGGATCTCACCTGATCGAACACCAAATGAATCAAACAGACAATCAGACAGACAGACAGTGCCTGTCTCTCCCTCCCTCCCTCCCTCCCTCCCTCCCCTCCGTCCGCTACCTACCGTGATTCTTGGGGCAGAGCAGCTCGCCAACGTCATGAAACAGGGACGCGACGACCATCTCTTCGCTCGCGCCGTCCTTCATGGCGCGCGTGGCGGTCTGCAAACCTGCAAAACAACAGGACATCCACATGGATGTATGTTAAATGTAGGTGTGTGTGTCCGTCCGTTGGTTGGGTGCTGACCGTACCGTGGTCGTAGAGCGAGACCTGGGTGCCCAGCTTGGTGTCATCTCCCCTCTGCGTCTCGAGCAGTGCCACCAGCCGCCTCCAGCTGTCCTTCTCGGCTGCAGCGTACAGCGCACCCACCTTCTGCATCTCCGCCCGAGAGGCGCCAGACAGGTGAATGAACTTGGGCTCCGGCACGGCAACGGATGAGTGTGGACGGGCTGCTGGTAGGGATATCGACTGGGCCCTTCTGTAGACTGCTGCTGCCGCCTTCTGCGTGTTCATCATACCACAGACAGGAGGGCTGTGAGGCACTGCGATGAGCGACGCGCAAATTGGCGCCGCGTCTTTGAGATGAACCTTCGGTGGAGAATAAATGAAAAGAGGGTTTTTGTCCCTTCCTCCACGACGGGCGGTTTCACGGAATGCGAGCGTAGCTGAGAGGTGCAGCCAAAGCCAACCGATCTCAGAAGAAGGCGCACTTATGTTGAGGAGAAGGCGCTTTTGACAAGGAGCTTGGCCGCTGCTCTGCTGAAGATCAGCTTAGCAATGAAGAGCCAGTGCGGCGCCATCATCTGCATCATGTGCATCATTGTGGTGTGGCTGACGATGGCCGAGTTGGTCCAAGGCATCGAAGGCCACTACACCAAGCCCTATCTCCTCACCTTTATCGCACACAGCGCATACGCCTTCTGTCTGCCCCTGTGGTTCCTCTGGCGCATGTACCACTACTTCAAGGACCGATGGAAGGAGCGAAAGGACGGGTTGGGGGAGACCGGCAAGGCGGCCGGCGCCGCGAGTGCGCGGTCCTGGCGGCACGGCGGCAGATCGGCTGGCTCGAGCAGCTCGCGACTGGGCAAGCTTGAAGGGAAGGGGGGGCATGCGCATCCGCATCACCACCACCACTCAGTGCCGCCCAAGATCGGCTACTTCAATTGGTGCTATTTCTTCGGGGCATCCATACCTATTGGTGGGGGCGCACTTAACTTACGGGAGGGAGGGAGGGAGGGAGGGTCAGCTCGCGACGGTCTGTCTGTCTGTCTTCTGTCTGTCTGTGTGTATGTGCGGCATTTGTGGTTCAGGTATTTTGGCTTTTGTTTCGGGCTGGTTCTGGTGAGTGAAATGATGCTGGCAGACACACAGACAGACAGACAGACGGATATCTTCTTTTCTTGTGTGAGGTCCTTTTGGTGCTTGCAGGTATCTCTCTCTGCCACGCACAAGCGTAAGCACACACAATCCGCTTCGATCCGTCCGTCCGTCCATCGATCCATCTGTGTCTTTGAGTGCCGTGCAGGTGTCTGGGAACACGGCCATCTACCAGTCGTCGTGCACGATGGTCTACCTCATCTCGATCTTTGTCCTCAAGGAGCGCGTCACGTGGCTCAAGTCGGCATCCGTCACCGTTTCCTTCCTCGGCGTCCTCTTCATCTCATTCTTCCCGGGAAACGCCGGCACGGAGGAGCCCTCACGATCGCTCAGGAGAGACCTCTTCTACTATAGCGAGCTGCCTGTGCACCCGATGGTGCGGAGGAAAGGCAGGTCGGTGGCGTGGGGGTGGGGTGAGGGCGGCGTTGGGAGGCAGCTTGTGACGGAGAGTGAGGTGGGCGGTGTGGAGGGAATAGTCACGAGGGCCGGGGGGGACGACTGGGACATCGATGACACGGGAGAGGAGCCAATCCACCCGTCGCTGTTCGGTGCGTGTGGAAAAAAGGACGAGTGGCTGCTCTGCTGCTGGGTACACACTTGCAGGTTTTGATTGCCTTGCCTTCCGTTGGTGCGGTACACAGGGTATGGGATGTGTTTTCTCAGTATGGTCTTATATGCTTGCTATGAGGTAGGATGGCAGGGCAGGCATGGCATCCAACACACACACTTGCACTACAGCCACAGAGCATACGTGTGCGGCGTGCCGTGCATGGCATGGACACCTGACGTGACGGTCGGTTGGTGTCCCTCCCTCTGTGTGTGTGCTGGGCTGGTGCAATGCGACCTATTTAGGTGTTTTACAAGAAGTGGGCCTCGCATGCCGGCGACCCCTACCCACTTGCAAGTAAGGAAGCACTCCTTTTCATCACCTCACCTCCACACGGCAAGCAAGGACCGGCAGTGCAGTCCCACCCCACACAATTGCCTTCCTTCGCCTTGCCTGCTTGCTGTGCGCCTCGATATATCAGATTCGTTGAGGTTTCTCGGTCTCATGGGTAAGCCTGCCACACACATGCCACTAGACAGACAATACACGACACTTGCCCAGTGCTCTCACTCACTCTCAACGCCTGTCTCTCTCTTTCTGCCTGTGTGGATCGATGGCCATCGATGGAATGCAATCTAATCCAATCCATGGCTGCCTGCAGGCTGTTCGACGCTGTTGTTTGCCGGGCCGCCGATCCTGATCCTGGATCTTTTCCCCCACTGGGGTGAGAGCTTCGAGCTGCCCAAGGGAGAGGGGGCGAGACTGATCGTGCTGCTCGCCTCACTGGACACGCTATTCAACCTCTTCCTGCTCTTCGCTATCATGCTCTCATCACCCCTCTTCACGTCGATCGGGTTGGTTTGTGTGGCCGACGGATGAACGGATGGATGGATGGATGGGGTGGCACATTGGCCGGCACTGCCTGCCTTTGGTCGGTGTGTGTTGGCTGTGCTGTGCACAGGTGTCTGTTGCTGCTTCCGGCGTCGGTCTTCTCTGACTTGTTGATACACCATGTGAGCAAAGCAGGAACCAGATAGACAGACAGACAGACAGACAGAAGGACAGGAGCTTGCTGATTGATGGCCGGCCATTTAACATTCACCCTTTCTTTCGTTCACATCTGTCTGTCTGTCTGTCTATGTGGTGTGGGTGCAGTATCGTCTGCCCTTCCCGGCCCTTATCGGTGTCGGCTTCATTCTCCTGGGCTTCATCGGTCAGTTTGTTGTGTTGTGGACACAAACGCACTTCCGCACACCGCACCGATATGATCGTATGTCCTCACGCTGCCACCTCTTGTCGCCTTGTCACCCCACCCACACAGGCTTCACGATCTCCGAGATGCGTGACGGCGACACACTCTATGAGTACGAAGTCCTCCCCACCCCCGACAACAGGTCTCTCCGGGGCAAGCAAGTGGCGCCGCTGAGCGACGCGGGCGGCTTCCTGCCCTTCGCACACACCAGCACAGTCCGAGAGCAGCTCAATGGCCGTCCGCATCCGCACGAGAACGGCCCCACGGTGATCGGCAAGGCGACAAATGAGACCGAGTTGGACGATTTCGGTGCCTTTGACGTGCCGGAGTGGGGCGATATTGCTGACTATGACGATGAGGGCGAAGGCGATGAGCAATCTGATGAGGATGACCTTGAGCTCGACGACGAGGACCTGATCGACCACCTGGAGGCCTCGCAAGTCAGTGTTATCAGGGAATGAAGAAATGGCTGACTGACTGACAAACAGACAGGGAACAAAGGGCTCGCAAGTGAGTGGGATGGCGGGTCAATCAATGGGTCGGTCGACCGATCGGTCGGGTGAGGAGGGCGGCGGGCTGGGGTGTGCACGTGATGTGATACTCTCGGTGCTGTTGGTCTCTGCCGACCCTTTCATTGGATCAGAGGTTCCAAACACAGCCAGGCCGTAGCCAGGCGAATATGTGGTCGGTCAGTCATTCATTTGCAAAACTTCATGATCGATGACTTGATTTGACGGCGGCAATTCAATTGGAAGCGAGCTGGGGTGCCCCGCCCATACACATGTGTGCATAAGCAGCAAGCACTATACACAGCCCACGTATTCCTTCACCGCACCACGCATGCTTGTTACCCGTATTTGTGTTTGTCTCGGCAATCAATCAAGTCATGCGGACGTCGCCTGCACGAACAAGACATGTGCACGCCCAGCAGAGATCACTGGAACGGTTGGTTACCAACGATGTGCAGACAAATGCGCAATGTGACCGGATGGCTCGCTTGCGAGATCACTCTCACCCCCACCCGCTTGACTACATGGGGCTCACGGCGGAGACATCATCAGAACACACGTGTCCGTCAGTGCACTATAGATCTACCCCTATGACCCTCATGCGTACGACAATCAGAGATCACAGATCACGATTTTGGCATAAAGCGAAGCCACCACACAGAATCATTCAGACAGAAAGACCAAGTCTGGGTGTCCGTCCGTCCACGTGCGGCATGACTACATCAGCTACACAACGCAGCACGCACCGCATGAAAGAGTCATCTGTCTGTGCTACACACATATTCTGCACACCTCGATTGTCCGGAGAGCGAGCCAATGCGGCGAAAAAGGACACTCACTGACGTGTGCGTCGTATTCATTATTCGCCACGTCACGTGAAGCAGCACACGCACACCACCTCTCGATCAGCTAACCAGCCCCTAGACTCCCTCCCTCCGCTCCCTCCGTCCGTCATATTAATTACATACATACCGATGGATCTATCGACTAAACATCCCGTCCACCGCCCCACCCACTAGAGCTCGTCTTCCTCCTCCTCCTCTTCATCTTCCTCCTCACCGGGGCCCTTCTTGCTGTTGTTGATGTCCAGCAGCTCTACCTCGAACACCAGGGTCGCGCCACCCGGGATCTTTGGAGGCGCACCTAATTAATTAGGCAAACAACCGGATAGAGAGAGAGACAGGAGGGAAGGCCATCTTTGGATTGGCGTCGCCGGTGTGTGTGTGTGTGTGTGTGTGTGTGTTGTCACCCCTGTCGCCGTATCCGAGTCCAGACGGGATGGTCAGCTTCCTCTTTTCGCCAATGCACATATTTTGCAGCCCGTTGTCCCAGCCCTTGATCACCTGACCCACGCCGAGAGTGAACTGACACGCACACACACACACACACATACATACACGAGCACAGCCATTGTGGCTCAGTCAGTCTGTGCAGCGATACACGCAGCTCAGCTCACCTCAAACGGCTTGTTTCTGCCTCGGGACGAGTCGAATTCGCTCCCGTCTTTGCGCAAAGTGCCGACGTAGTGCATCTTGAGCTTGTCGCCAGATTTGCTCCTGCAGTTGCAAACACGTCGTGAAGGTCGGACCTTTTTCTCTCTCTCTCTGTGCACATCTGTATCAGATTCTCTCCTACTTGACAGTGCACTCTGTCTCGGGCACTTTGTGCTTGACGCCGATCCGAAGCTGCGCACGCACACACACCAAAGACAGCACAGCAGAAGGACGTGTTCTCCTCCCTGCGCGCCAGCGTTGCCGCGTGGTGTTGGCAGGCGCATACCGGTGCGTCGGCAGGCAGATCTTCCTTCGAAGCGGCCCCGAGAGAGGCGAGAAGGAAGATAGCGCAAGTGAGCAGCATCGCTGAGGACGGCATCCTCTCCGTTTGTTGAGTCGCCACGTCGAACCCTAGTAGCCCCGAACCCTAGCCTCGAAACCCTGGTGCGGGAGACGGGGTGATAGTCTGTCAGTTTCATGTATTGCAAATCAAACAACTGCTGACGCCCGTTCCCCTCCACACACACACGTACACACAAAACCGTCAGTCAACCAATGTGTCCGCACCCCACACAGACGGACAGACACATACACACACCCACCTCCCTCGCTCCCCACCCACCCCATACACATTGCGCCTCCCGCTGCTCTGCACACACACTAATCTCACTGACTCTAACTATAATATGGATTATACGCAACGTTCGGTGATGCGGTACGATCTTCCTGCCTGCCTGCCCGCGGCCGTCTCGATTGACGGCATACACAGCACACGTTTCGTTTGGAAAATGAACAAACACGCACACACGCACACATACGACCGACAAGTGCAGTTCAGTAAGTCGATCGACCAAAGTGCACCCCTCCTCTCTCCCTCCTCTCCTCTTAAACACACATCCCGCCATCCTTGTCTGTGTGGGAATGGCTCAGTCAGTCGAATTGCACGCTGCCCGTCAGAGGCGATGGTCGAGGCCATCGAGCCCACACGAGCACTGGTCGCCCCGAAGTGCTTCGAGTCGGGCGAGTTGGACCAAGAGTCGGTGGGCGTCTCGGGAGGGAGCAGACGGCTGCTGCTGCTGGTGCTGCTTGAAGGCCACGGCGTACTGTACTTCGTTTATTCCATTCTTCGGACCGTCCACCTCACTGGCCGGGTGACCCACACACACAGAGAGAGCGAGAGAGAGAGAAAGAGAGAGAGAGAGAAGGGACACACATGCGTCTCTGCGGGCTTGGGCGTGGCGTGGGTTGGTGGAGGGGGGAAGAGTACCTGCAGTAGCGTCGCATCTCTTCGACGGTCCGTGTGGTGCCTCCAGGAATGCGATGTCAGCACCCATTATTGCGTGGACAGCCTGGCAGCGGCGGATAGCCTCGTCGAGCCTGCACCCACACACCCACCGACACCCACACGATAGTTGTTTCTTGAATGCTTGTCGACTCTGTTCTCTCCTCCCTCTCGCATCTCTCTCATCCGAGGGACGCCCGCGCGTCGGTGCGGGCCAGGATGCACATGTCAGCGCCCCCACTCCTGACACACACAGACATCCACACCAAGGACATAACATATGAGAGACTGCACGCAATGGGTGCGGTGTGGCCGAGCGCACCGCGCGTCTATGGCGGCCTTGACGCGCATGCAGGCGTCTTCGAGTGGGGTGGCCTCCTTGCCGGCAGTGTGGCCGCACTTCTTGGGCGCCACCTGCACGTCCACGCCTGCACAGGGATACCCCTGCACCGTCCTCTTGATGTTGACCGCATTGCCTGTTGGACCGACGTCGACACACACAATGTGTGTGTCGTCATTGTGTGTGTCGTGTGTGCAGATGGCCGCCTGCAGTGCTTACCATATCTGGTGTCGCCATCAGCGACACACTTGTGACGGCCTCCGTGATGGCTCGGCAGCCGTCCAGCATCTCAGAGTAGGCCAGCATCTGCGCGTCGGGGAATGAACGTGCACCAGGCACTGAGAAGCCGCTGACAAACGAACAGGGGAACCCCGACGGACATAGACAGCCCAGCCGCACACACACGATGGATGGATGCAGATCTCTGCTGCTCTTTCCCTTGATGCATCGTACCTTCCTCCTCGACGATCTGGGCGAGTTGAGGAGCTCACGCAGGCTTTCGGCAGGTCTGGATTGTCTGTAGGGAGGCCGTGAAAAGCACACACCCAAGCTTGCACACATCCGACACGGAGGACGCCCCCATTCTTGTCATTATCAAAACAGCCTTTCTCATCATGTCGCCCCGTCCCTGTGTTGTTTTGGCTGCCTTCCATCTGCTGACGTTGCTGAGCTGCCTCCCGGTGACTCTGGGCTGGCGACACCTTCTCCATCGGCATGAGCGTTGCCGACGCCAGCCGCGGCTTCCTCCAGAGGGATGTCCCCCGGTTGTCCCTGATGTTCTCCTCGGTGGGCGAGCAAACAGACCGGCGCTCCATCATCTTCATCTTGCATGGATGCAATGCCTTTGGTGGCCACCATGAATGCAGGATGCCACGCCCCTACTCACGGACTCAGCCCCAGGGATGGGGAGCTGCCCTTCCTCTTCCAGGAGTGGCATCCACAGCAGTGGTCTGCGCCTCTATGCGTGCTGACAATGCATGCATGCTTTTGTCTATTGGTTTTTGTTTCGTTGTCTCCAGGACACTTGACAAGTTTATGGGCAAGTTTGTGTTCATCGATTACGAGCGTGATGTGGAGCTGCCGCGGAGCTTCAGTGGATACGACAAAAACAAGGAAGTGGTAGAGTTTGAGACGGCAGACCACCACATCGTCGAGGAGGCCAGGGACTGGGAGATATCTCGTCACGGAAACCCTCATTACCATCCGTTTCCCTGGAAGGGCCTCGCAAACGTTCCCATCAAGCCCCATTACTGGCAGCTCGACCTCACTGATACTCAACAGATAACTGATACTGAAAAAACAGCACCCACTCGCTCACTGTGTATCTCTCTGTCATGAATGAATTCATGCATGCAGGTGTATTCAGCCCATTCGTCACTTGGGCTGCCACTCAACCACTTCAAGGTTATCGTACTTGTGTATTACCCTCAGGTGAACCAATGAGGGGTACGAGACATTTGCACCAGTGTATTGTTCTTTTTTCTGCACTCGTATATTGTTGCTAGACCATTTTGCAGCTGCCAGCCTGGCACTGCATTGAGGCGAGAGACATGCACATCGTATTTTCTGTATGTATGTCACTGCATTGAGGCGAGAGGCATGCACATTGCATTTTTTCTGTGTATATGTCACTGCATTGGCGAGAGGCATGCATATTGTATTTTTTCTGTGTGTATATCACTGCATTGAGGCGAGAGGCATGCACATTGTATTTCTGTGTGTATATCACTGCATTGCAAAGCATAGCTGCGTGTGTATATCACTGCATTGCAAAGCATAGCTGCATTGAGGCGAGAGGCATGCACATTGTATTTTTTCTGTGTGTATATCACTGCATTGCCTTGCATTGAGGCGAGAGGCATGCACATTGTATTTTTTCTGTGTGTATATCACTGCATTGAGGCGAGAGGCATGCACATTGTATTTTTTCTGTGTGTATATCACTGCATTGCAAGGCATAGCTGCATTGAGGCGAGAGGCATGCACATTGTATTTTTTCTGTGTGTATGTCACTGCATTGCCTTGCATTGAGGCGAGAGGCATGCACATTGTATTTTTTCTGTGTGTATATCACTGCATTGAGGCGAGAGGTGGTTTGTGTCTTCAGGCTTTTTTCGGAGGCGAAGGATGCAGCTGCAGTGCGCCACTCGAGGACACGATCTGCTTGCGCCACACATTTGAGATGCTTGAGGCGGATATTTGCTGGGAAGATGACAAATTGGGCCTTCTTCTGCTATTCAAGTCCTTCACCAAGCTCGCTAAAGAGGCAGGACTCCAACTCAAACAGCCAGCATATTTCAACAACCAAGGTATGACTCACGCTACGAAAAGTGTAAATATCGTAAGTCCAATTGAGACTGAGATATATTTGATGGCTTTTGCGCGTTTTGTTTGCTGCAGGAAAGATGGGCGTCGGATTGCAGCGGGTAAATTGATTCCAAGGCAACACGCAAGGCAACACGCTCAAGCAGAGTCGCACGCATTCACCGGGGCCAAGACACCCTATTTCCTTTTCCTTTCATAACGGTGGGCCCACGGGGAATGTCTGTCTCTTTGTCTGTCTGTCTGATCTCGCTGGCTGCCCAGTCTATTGGTGTGCCGCCAGTAGGCAGTGATAGATCTGCCGCACTGCAGGCTGGGCTGGTGGAGTGTAGGTGTTGGCGGTTTTGCCTACACTCCCACAATTGCACTCCCAGCACTCCCTTGCTCTTTCGACTGCCTGCCTGCCTGCCCGCCTGTCTGGCTGCATGCGTGGTCCGTCTGCACATGCATGGATGACGGATTCATGATGGAAGACCAGACCGTGAGACAATACATGGACGGATCGAGAGACACATACCGAAGCGACCATCAACCAGTGAACAAACGCCATGCACGCATCTATGGAAACTCTCATTCACACATGATCGGCCCATACAATGTATCGCCTTCTTGTTTGTCATTGCGTGGGCCCGGAAAGTCCACATCTATATTGTACAACACATGTACCCTCGTTCGCTGAGCACCGCCGCCATCAGTGCAGGGCTTTCCGTGCGCACCCGCAGCTGCTGCTGCACTGTCGACCGACAGCTGGCAGTGGCTGCCAGACGCATGCACCGGACAACACACCTGCACATACACGCGCGCCCCACTGCACATGCAGCACAGCCAGTCGCCATGGTCGCACCTGTGTGTCATGGATCTACCATTGGTACGGCCAGGAACCCGTCCGTGTTGTGACGCTGTGCGGGACGCATGGCTTGTGTGACTACTTGTGACGACTGGAAGAGACAAACGAAAAGGACGGCTAACGTACTCTATGCCATTCTGCGATTCTGTCATTCCCTCGTGTGCCTGGGATCGTCTGGGTGTCTGCGCGTGTTGTTTGTTCCGTTGAGTATGCGATAGTTGTTTGTCCATCGTTCGCCAAGACTACGTGGCGCGTTCGTGTGCATGCGCCACTCGCCTCGCCAGCCAATCAATACAAATGCGCACACACAAACATGCACATACACACACAACTGAATGGATACTGCGAGGGTCGGATAAATGGGACAACGGATATATGGGAAAAACGGTATATGGGACACCCTGGGCCGTGTCCCATTTATCCGACCCTCACAGTATATGTACCAGTCGTATAAAGCTTATGTAAGCTACTCAGCACCGTACCGCACCGCACCACACGCATTTTGATGGACACAAACACAGATCGATGCGAATGCACAAACGTCAGTCATATGAATGTCCTGTCTGCCCTTGCTGGCTGCAGGGGTCTTTCGATCGGGCAGGACAAACAAACCAGACAGACGTCACGCGCAAAACGAACGCCTGTGAACAATACGGACTCCCCTCCCATGTACATAAATATCAAAAACGCGCAAATGTACAGGCAGGCAGGCAGGCATCCTGATCCCATCCTTCTTGGCCCTCTAGATCTTCTCTTCTGCTGCTCATATATGTGTCGTCTACACTCGGTCTCTCTCACTAACTAACCCATGGCTGGCACCCACCCCGTCCTAACGACAGCAAGTCAGTCGGATGGACAAGCCACACACACTAAGTCAAACCACACCCAATCCCATCCCTCCCTGTCCCCTGTGTGTGTCAGGATGGCCCATCCATCCCCCTCCCTCTAGCTAGCCGCCCCAGACGTCGGCCAGCCATCGGTAGCCACCATCGCCATTGAAGTATGGGGGCACGTTGTGGTGCAGGAGGCGTGTGCCAAGGCCTTGGTGAGGTCCGTCGATCATGCCGTGAGCCTGCAGGGCTGGGAGGAGGTAGTGCGTGACGGCCTGGCTGCACGTCTCGTACGCGGGCTCGGGGAAGACGAGAGAGAACAGATGCATGGTGACCTACACATACACACAGGTGTTTCTGTGTCTGTCTGTGTCTGTGTCTGTGTGTGTCTGTTGTTGGCCGACTGGCTTACTTACCACGTCCTGCGACGTCATGGCAGGGTCGCGGTAGGCGGGCTGCTGCCGCCGCAGATGCTCAAACAATGCCACGGCCAGACGGAAAACTGAACGATCCATCGACACACACACCATGACACACACACATACACACAAATGCATCCAAGTCTGTCTGCCTGGCTGGCTGACTGACCGAGGTCTTTGAGGTGATGTGGCGGTAGGGGTGTGACCGGCCGACCGGCAGCAACGGCACCGACATCACCATGGCCACCTGACCGGTTGATAAGGAACAACACACGACCAACAGAGGCCCCACCTGTGACTCCATCCATCTCCCTCCCTCTCTCCCTCCCTGTCCCACCCAGGAACAGATTCGCCGCAGTATTCTTGAGACCGCTGAACAGACCCACACCGCCGAACAGACCGCCCGCAGACGCCGGAGGGGGCGGGGGCTGGTACATCCCTCGGCCGCTGTGGATGTTGTCACTGGTGCTGTTGCCGGCGCTATGGTTGTTGGCGTAGTACGCCCCTGGCTGTGCCGCCCAGTTGTAGCTGCCCCGTCCCGGCTGCTGCGTGTGCGTGTGCTTGGTGGTGTTGGGCGGCATGCGTGGCGGTTGAAAGAGCTGGGTGGCCCTGGCATTGGGTTTGATGATGCTCAGGCCGCGTGTGGTGTCGATGTGGATCATGTGGGCGGCCATGAGGGCGCGGATGACCTTCTGCGCGCGGCGGAGCGACACGGACTTGGGGCGCACCGCACCCTGCTCGACCAACATGTGGAGCAGCTGCACAGAACAGACAGCAGAGCACAGAACAGAAAGAGAGAAAGGCCTTGAGTGGTGACGGTGTGGTGCTTGCCTTGACGATGGAGTTGATGGGCTTGTAGTTGCCATGAGGGAGAGCCATGATGGTCGACGCCAGCTGACACTTCTGGTCAATATCTGCACTCACTCAGACATGAGAGACAGAGAGAGAGAGAGAGAGGGGTGGATGGGTGGGTGTGTTTGTATGGTGAATAGTACACATGTGCTGGTACCGTCCACATGGCCGTCGTCATCGTCTTGGTCGAATATGTTGTTCTCCTGGATGATCTTGACCATGAGCTTGGTGTCAGCCACCAACGCAGGCTCCAGCTCTATGCCGACAATGGCCACACCTGCACTCACACACACCATACCATATCACACCACACCACATAGATAGATATGTGGCCCGGCCCGCCGGGTGAGCGGCTGCCGCTGACTGACTGACGTGTGTTGTCGTCCCTGGCTCTGGAAATGACCAACTGTTCGCCTGACGCACCGGACCACACACACCCCACAGAATCATTCGCCATAAACACCACCCACCCTCCCGCACCATACAGAACCAACCCAAGCCAGCCCACCGACCTTTGTTGCGCGTCTTGAAGAAGAACTCGGCCATGTCGGCGTCCTTGCCCCGTCCCTCGTCGCGATCGCCATCGTCGTCATCCCACTCACCGTCCGACTCATCCACACGCACGGTGCGACGACTGCCGGTGCCAGTGGCATTGCTGCCGGTGTTGGTGGCGGTGGCGGTGGCACGTCGCAGACGGCGGGTGGACCCCCCGGCCTTGGGCGTGG